TGTTTTCGTATTGTTAACTAACTTTTAATTAAACAAATGAAGATTTTACTGATTTCTTGGTAAAAAAAATCATGTTTTTTTTATCGGTCATATGCTTCATCCATTTAAGTTTAAGATTCTGGAAGAAAATTTCACTGCTCGTCATTAGTTTAAACAAAATGAATTTATTTATGACAGCGCGCCGGGCCCCGAGCGTGTCGAACTGAATTGAAGGTTTTATCAGTGATAATTTAAAATAACTCAACTCGAGAAAATGTCAGCATCGCTTCTTTTTTTCCTCACTGAAATGGGATTATTCACAATTTTCCATACAGTTGATGTTGGAATTTTCGACAATGAGGTCGTTTCTTCTATAGATGCTTGCTGGCTGGCGCCACGTTCAATGAGAGTCAAATAAACATTGTCTATAACTTCCTTAGTCTCAATAAAATAGTATTTTCTACATTTGGGCGGGAGCATCTCCTGAGATACACTAGACTCGCACATATTTTGCATAATTCGCACACGATTCAACACACGAAGTAAGAATGATTACTAATAAACTTAAACTAAGTAGTATACCAAACCAAGGAATATTAAACACAGGTAGGTATAAAATTATTTTCTATTACGGACCACAATTTTACCTGAATTTAAATTCCGAAACTTTAGGTAATAATGTCGTTGCATTGTATGTTACTGACCACCCTTGGATAATCCCATTCAAAAGCAATTGGTCACTTTCTTATATCTAGGAACAGACCATACCTACCAGTAATGCGCTTATTCTATTCTATATCTTATTCTAGTTTTAATTAAATTAAATTGAATTAAATGTGCAAAAACGAAGTAACAAACGTCGGTCAACCAAAATAACAAACCAGTTTTGATTAGTTTGGGGTTTTCTTCATCGATCTTGGCGAGTGATAGCCGAGAAGTCTAGAGAAATGCTTACGGAGTAAGTTTTCCTTCGCATCTGTATCTGTTTAGCTCAGTCTAGCAATTTCATCCATCGTTACTAATATTTTATTCGCCACAGTAGTGGATGTCGTTTCTTTTCAATTTTTTTTTATTATTGAGACGTACATCGCCCGAGGAACCCCAAAGGTCGCAAGGGTGTGGCGGTGGGGGGACAAAAGTCGACAAAGAAATGGCGTTTGCATCGTCCACGTGTTTCTTTATGATTTTTCTTGAATGGGCTTCCTCCGCGCAGATGTACCTTCTTGCAAGAACAGCTGCCCCGTACCGTCCATATTGTATTTTATTGTTCGGTTTTCTTTCGTCGGATCTTTATTTGCGTTCGAACGGGCGCGACGAAAAAAATCGTTTATTAAACAAATAACATAATAATAATATTTCTTTATTAGCTTGGGATGCTACATACAAAAATAATTGTTTACAAAGTTCTACAAAATGCATGAACAAACAAAACCAACAAACAACGTAACTATAACCGGAAATCAACATATAGGCAAAATTAAGATGAAACAGAGATTTATACTTAAAATCTAGATATCGCATATTCCCTCAACATAGTTTTAAAGCTATTGAAATTATCACAAGTTCTCACACAATGTACACAATAAAATTTGTCATTTGGTTAGAGCAGTACCTATCTACTAAAATAAAATCAATGCGGTTTCTCTTAGAGTGACTACGCACGCTGTTAAAATATTTTACTTTATCACAGATGTAATCAGGTAATAGTTTATTTCTTAACTTATACATAAAAATATTTGCATCATAAATAATTCATTGTTTGACCGTCATGACATTAACAACATTTGCCATTAGGTTTACAGTAGTGTTTGTGTTTACGTAACCATTCATATATTCGGTTCAAATCACTGTTAATACTACGTTTCATCTGATCTATGTCTTGTTGAATGAATCTAGAGATAAAATTTTTCACTTACTCGCCATGCTCGCCATATTCACTAAGTCAAATTGGAACTGATTGAAGATAATCGGTTATTTCGGGACAAACATTTATAATAAAATTATCATATCGATTATTTTGTGAATTCGCAATCTCGATAACGGTGCATCGTATAGCGTAGCCGTTGGTACAGATGAAATCAGCATCGAAAAAAACAACGTTGTTATTTTTTGTCTGTCTTCTGTCTTTTGTCTTTTTTTTTTTTTCGATTTTAGACAGTTTTTTGGACGTCGCTATGAAACACTATAAGTGTCCGAAGTTTGAAGCTATCGACTTCAAATAGCGTTTGGTCCCCTAACGAAACCTACTGAAATTGGTGGGGAGGAGTTGGGGGGTCGGGAAGTATTTAAAAAAAAAATAGAAACTGCGTTTGCAGGGGTCTAAGGAAAGGATCATTTCTCGAAAACTGTTTATAGAACCGAAAAAATTATTGATGACACGTAGATTTGGCTTAATAAAATGTTATTCTTGACAATTTTTCAAAAATGTACAGGGTGCAGAGTAAATTATTAGCCGCACATCAAAAATCGTACAAAATATTGGTTCAAACGGCATTATGGGCCACATCAAGAGCTACAATTTTTGTGTTTGCGGTTTGGGATAATTTTATTTGAACAGAATCGTAAACTATGTCGAGCGAGAGTTTCAGGTTTCGTCAATTATACGGGGCGCGAGATATTTGAAAAAATATTATTCGACAACGCTGTTATTTGTGCAAATTTTAATACCGATGTTTGCTGTAACTTTGAAGTTCGACGAGATGTGAAGGACACTTTATACAGGGTGTATGCGAAATATATCGATTTTGCGAAAGTTCCATAGTGGTCCGCACGAACCGCCAAGCTCCTTGCTTTTATTTATAAAAAGCTGCTTCGCGCTATGCGCTACGAACTTGTGTTCCACCCAGTGACGATTTTTCGAAAGCAATCTGGTTTTTAGTGTTGGAATCATTTTTTCGTATTGCACTCTGTCAAACGCTTTCTCGAAGTCGATAAGTCACATAAATACATCGCAGATCATAGCTCGACATCTTTGAGTTGCTGAACAGACCCTTCCTTGTACCTAGACCCTTACGGAATCCGAACTGAGTGTTTAATGTGTTCCTCAATTTTGGGGTAAAAAATTCTTTGATGTATTGTTTTGTTATTAGTTGTAATCAGATTATTCGACGTTTTGCATTAAAACCCGACGGTATATCGAATTCAACAAATTCTCAGCCAATCAACATTTTCGATTAATTAAGACGTTAATCGGGACAAAAATTCCGGTAACGATAGCAGGAAATTATCGATATCGAAAGTGTCCAAATGCTACGTCATCGCGTCTCTACTTGTCACGTCTGGGGCAATCGAAATTACGTTTCCTATCGCCAAGTACAATCGATTTTTGCCTAGGGGACGATGCGCTTTGACGCAAGCGCGTATACGCTGGAATGTTGTTGGACGGTATACTTCGGCCAGAAATATAGTGCGTTTACATCCGGCCCCGTGATTAACTTTGCCTACTGTTTCAGGACCATTCCAGGGACCGTCCTAACAAGATTGCTTTCGAAAAATCGTCGGTGAGCGGGGCAAGTTCGTCGCAAATAGCGCGAATCCCCTTTTTTATTTTAAATTCTTGTAGGCACGCAATGTTTTTCTATCGTGCTCTTGCGGACCACTATGGAACTTTCGCAAAATCGATGTAATTTGATTGTGAATACACCCTGTATAAAGTGTCCTTCACATCTCGTCGAACTTCAAATTTACGGCACACTTCAGTAAATATCAAAATTTGTACTGGTAATTGGAATTTAAAATTATATTTTTTCAAATATCTTGCGTCCCCTGTATTATAGACGAAACCTCAAACTCTCTCTCAACACGGTTTACGATATCGTTCATATCAAATTATCACATCTTTAAAAGTTTTTCTTGTATCGCCAATAATTCACCCACAAAAGCGGAAAAACCAAAAGACGAGGACGGAGAACGGACCAACAGACAAAAAAAAAATTTTTCGACTGTGTGCGCGATCTTTTTTGGAACTCTGTGGGTCGGAACCGAAGCCTGCGATAGAACCGATTGTGACGGAAGATGAAACTATGGTTAGTTCAGAATCAACGGAGTGGCGTCGTAAGGATGAAGCACCTCGAAGAACATTCAGAGTCTGCCAGTCAACAAAAAAAGTGATGGCCACGATCTTTTGGGATTGTGAAGGAATTCTGTTGATAGATTTTAAAGAAACTAATACCACTGATAATGGTACATTTTGGAGACAAACCAAAAGAATATTTTTTTAAAGGGATTGAGTTCTTAATAAAGAGATGTAATTAGTGTATTGAAGTTAAGGGGGATTATATTGAAAAATAATAAAAAATTGTTACTCTACTTTGTTTCTTTCATATTCAGACTGTTAAATTTTGGCGCTGCCGTTAAGTTCCATAACGTTAGTGTGGCGCCGTTGTCTATCCAAATCTTCCTGGAGTGCTAGACAGTCATTTTGGGTGGTTATTCTTGAGAAGTTCCAGATCATCAGCAAAAAGAAGGAACAAAGCTGTGCTTAGAGGATAGATGTAATGTCATTCCTAAAGATATTGAATAGTAGGGGGCCCAGGTGAGACTAGGATGGGGATTTCGAGTGTGTATCCTCCTCTAGGGGCCTTAGAGTTCTTTAGTTTGCTTAGTTTCTTTGGGGAATATGTTTCTTTTTTGTATGATTCATCTTACGTTCAGAAGTTGTTTGAAGTACCGTTCATGCTTCCTCCAGGAAGCTGGGGAAGTACTTTGAGTAACCGCGAGATATACTAGGCTCCTTCATATGTTAGATTTATGGAAGAAAAAGCTCCAAACACTGTTTATGTCTTTTTTTTTACCATTATCGATATCTTCGTTTTCAGTGTAATGGAATTTATGTTTTATGGAAGCTGGATCTTATTTTTTTTTTTTTTTTGGTTAGTTAGGACATTGCATTCTGCTGATTATAGCTTTGGAGGCTATAAAAATCTACCAGATCTACCCATTTATTTAACCACGACAAACTGTCGGTTATTTAATGAAAGTATACAAAAAGAGGCGGTAGGAAATAAAGTTGTCCGAACGAATCGCCCCTTCTGAAGGCGGATTCGCCGACAAGGTATTGATTAACCGACCTCGTGGTGGGGGATCTCGTCCGTTAAGGAACGCAGATGAGCCCCGGCAAAGGACACCGGTTCCCACTGTAAACTTTCTCTCCGTTTTCATTTAAGGGACACGACTCCACGGTAAACAATGAAGTCTGAACGGTCGATAAAGGTAATTATCCTGGTTATTTGATGACGTTTACGCGCCCTTGTTTTGCATAATTGCCAAATTTGTGGACTCGCGGGATGAATTTGGTTTTCTAGTTTGTCTTCAGAGCAGAATCAAAGAAGCCGAAAATATCTTAGCAGACTTAAGCTTGGTCCTTTGAATTTATTCTTTATCGATTTACTCCGTTACTATTGTGGTTTTATTCGTAAACTGTTAATTATACTCGGTTCAAATTAAGGGCCTAAAAAATATTTAAAAATTAAAGATATTCAATATAATACACTCATACAGTAAAGTGCATTATTTCATTGGTTTCAAAAGTCAAAAGAACATGCACCATTTAAAATTACTTTCCGGGTTACAGGGTGGGTTCAAAAAAGTGCGCTTAGTTTTTCCAATATTTTAATTTTTCTAAAAAAAATACTGCACTACGCAAAAATAATACGATAGTTCTGTTAATTTGGAATGTAGATCACTCGTATTTGATATTAGCGTTATGACGTACGAGGTTAGCGCCAAAATTTCCCGGCCTGACATAGATGCAGCTCCACGATAAAACTTTTTTAAATATATGTCTTAGTAGGCTGCGAAAAAAAAATTGAAGTCTTTTTAGAGTGTGGGTTCCAACAGATAGTCCAGATATGGCCCCCAGCGACTATTACTTGTTTGGATATTTGAAAAAGGACTTACGTGGACGGCGGTTTAATGACGAAGTTGAGTTAAAAAAGGCTGTTTTAGCTCATTTTGCAGACAAACCAAAAAAACATTTTCTTAATGGGTTTATATTGAAAGTTGTTAATAAAGAGATGTAATAATTGTATTGAAGTTAAGGGGGATCATATTGAAAAATATTAAAAAAATGTTACTCTACTTTGTTTCTTTCATATTCAGGCCGGGAAATTTTATCGCTGTCCTCGTATATGCAACAGATTTTTTTTTCTTATTTTGGGATTATAATAATAATAATAATAATTCGAATAATATTTGAAAGAAACTCTTTATAAAATTTGAAAGTAATACGATGGAAATTTTTAATGTGTATGAGCTACCATGTACGTTAGTAACATCGAAACTCTTCGACAATGATTTTACGAGCTTATGACTATAAAATCTTGGGTTGGAGAGAGGGTTCCGTGCGCCTAAACTGGTTGTAATGTTTACAAGTCACGTTTTGTGGGGATGTAAGTACGTTGCAGATTTCCCTCGACTTTGTGATTAAATTTTAATGTGTTTTTATGTATTAAGGCCTCCATACACAGTCGCATTTTCTTCAAATGACTATACTTCTGATTCATATGTTATTAAATATTGTGTTAAATATAAATGAGTCGCATGGTTTAAATGAATGGTATCTACTACGATTTAACATCCTTAAACTTTTCTAATAGATCGCTTTTTCAATTTGAACGTACATAACTAAAATATAACAATTATAAACTGTAAAATCTCACTCACTCACCGAAGAAACTCTCTCTAAAGTGTTCTTTTATTTGTATTATGGGTTAGGTTGAAATGGCTGTTCTTCAGTACTTGCTTGTACCTGTTTTTGAGATGTTTTGGTGTTACGTTACAATACAAGATGTGAACCTGCAGCAGAATGCTTAGAACATGACCAACGCTGTATACCAAGCTGGATAAAAATCTACGACATTTGCTTATCAGAACGGACAAAGACTTAGTGAAGAGAAGAAAGATCCAGGGAAGACTGTGATGGGAATGGTTCAACATGTTTTCTCCAGATCTTTGCACTATAGTAGTTTCCAAGGTGAGGATCATTTTGATGTTACCACCCTTCGATAATGGAGAAGCAACACGAAGAATAAAAAGAAGATAGGTAGGTTATTAAGAGGTTACCAAAAGAACCAATAGCCTCCAAGTCCTTTTTCTTAGTTTTCTCAGTAGATTAACGAAGTTCTGTTGTCCGACATCAGGAGTGGGATCAGCAGTTTTCGGTAATATTCGGACAGTGAAACTGATAATAATGTTAACTGTTCGATAGATGTATATAGGCTCTAGAAAGAAGAAGTGAAAAAAATGGTCAGTCTTTGCAAAAATAATAAATTTATGGGAGTCATGAGGAATATTTTGTCACTTATTTTTTTTTGCTGTTTTGTTGCTATGCTGTGTTGTAAGGGACGTAGTACTGAAATTGTGAAAATGTTCTGCTTCATGTTCGGGCGAAAAGTTAAGAATAAAGTTTATCTAGTCTTTTGAACCTTCAATTTCAATGAACTAGATCCCAATGTAGCAAAACAAAACTACGATTCGAAACATTTTTTTTTTCATTAAAATGGATAGACAATTTTTTTTTCGGTGACATTTGATATTGGGAGAAAAGTTTATAAGAAAATTTATGAACATTATTAGTTGTGTATACCAAGGAATGCTTCTCTGTAATCCTCCTGTAATCAAATTTATATTGTTATACGTTCTTTAACTGCCGAATTATCTGTTGTTTAAAAAACTCGGAATTTACTTTTTAAAAAACTTCAGGATTCCTCCAGCGCCGGTTTTTGTTGACTCGAATTTGTTAACGTTTCGCCAATCATCCTGTTGGCTTCTTCAGAGCTTGACTGAAACTGGCTGTACCTGCTTTTATATTGTTTTTGCTTTGTACCTGCTTTTATATTGTTTGAGGGGGGAGGAGCTAACAACGCTTCATATCTTTAATGTGCAAATGATTAGAGAGAAGAGCAGAGGTAAGGTGTTTTAATTCTGGGTTCAATGACTCGGACTGATCGTTTTACGGCTCTGTAAACAAGAGAGTTGATAACCGAAAACCTGATTTTCTATTGAGAAGAATATCTAAGAATGCAAGGTTATTATTAGTTTCCAACTCAATGGTAAAACGTATGTTATGGTGTATAGAGTTTAAATATCTATGAGAATCTACTAGGAATTCCTGAGGCCAAATAACAAAAGTATCATCGACGTAGCGTTTCTGTCTGTCTGAGTCTGATAGAGACGAAGCCTTAACGATAGAGACAGGATGAAAAGAGTATTACCCTAGCCTGTTTCTTTGAAAAATTAATCTTAGAATTTGTTTGGCGCTCTTTCTGGTATATGTATTTTGCTAACAGTGAATTGCTATTTTGTAGCAACTTTCAATCTTAAATTGCTAAGGGCTAATGGACAAGCCGGCAATTCAGTTTTCTTTTTGGACTTGTTACGCCGATAATACTGTGTTCAAATCTCCTTCACTCTGTGAAAGTTGCGACGTAGCAAGTCAAAATATCGACCACTTATAGCTAAGGGCGCCGACATACATTATGCAGCTAGCGTTCTCTGTCTGCAATAAAACCGGTGACGTAAGCAGCTCCGCAAGCGCGTTAAATTGTTTATTGCGGGAACAAACGTTTATTTTTAGGCGATCGATAAAAATACGTATTTATAAATTTTTATTTAGGCGTCGTATCGTCGTAAAAATGTCAAAAGGCCGCACACCGTCGACTACGGTTCGCGTGTGTGCAACAATATCGAATGGTTTGTCGTCGCGACTCGCCTAAACAGCTACGCGTACGTATACATGCCGGGTAACCTTGAACTCCATTCTTGTTTCACTGTCGGCCACAAAAATACAACTGGTTTCGTTTGTACTCTAAACGCTGCTACGCGTGCGAGGTTGCCAAGCGTTTCCATCGCGAACGAGGCAAGGTTTTCGAAGAACGTTGCCGTCTGATCGACGAAGGAACCACATAACTATTACCTAAGTATACTTCGACCAAAAATATAGCGCTTGTACTACCGACACCTCCAAGTAGATTTAAATTTTATGATTTCAGATAGTTTTTCGAAAAGTAAAGTTTAAAAAAAAGCACGGTCTATCTTTAAAAAACTTGAGCAAAATAGGATACATTAATAAGTGTGAGAAGAAGTATTTTTTTTTTCTGTTATTGATCAAAATAACGCGCAGTTTGCTTTCTTTGTAATATTTGATACATGTACAGATCACGCAAGATCATTAGTTACTGTCACACCATCCTCAGTCCATCTGAGAATCGACCCTGGGGAACACCACTAGGCACGTTTTGTGGCAGTGAAAAAGCGTTACCAATTCGAACTCTGAACGACCAGTAGCTTGAGAACGCCGCTATCCACTCTAGCAGTTTACCCCCCACTCCGACATTTTCAAGTTTGAATAACAAGCGTCGATGTGGCACTTTGTCGAAAGCTTTACTGAGGAGATAATGTCCAGTTATTCAAGCATTTCAATGTATTTGATATGACTGATCTGCCTGGAACAATGCCGTGCTGCGATATAGGTATAATATGGCAGTCGATCAAAAACGGTAACAGCTGATTTACTATAAGCAGTTCAAGAGCCTAGGCTGATAGGGCGGTAATTTGAAACATCGAGCTAATCACCCTTTTTATAAATCGGTGTTACGTTTGCGGATAACCAGTGGGTTGGGAGTGTGGCAGAGTCCAAAGATTTTCTCAAAATCCGGGAGCAGAATATTCTTTTAACTCAGAAAGAGTTTTTTTTTTCACGTCCTCTTGGTCAAAATGAATGTCTTCTAATAAATCTAGATTTATAGGACGGTAGATTAGCTGGTTCATCAGCAAAGGCACTAGCAAAATATGAAGCAAATTCATTTGAAATGAAGTCCTGGTTATAGGAGACCTCTCCCAAGGTATCTCCAAGGATAATCTATTAGAAGCTAATCTTAATCGGAAGGAGAGCGTTAAATCTACGCCACAGAGTTCTATTATGTTTTATTTGTTTGAACAGGTGTCCAGTTAACCAAGGTTTCTCGGAATTGAACTTAACAAAATGAGTTTCGGAGCTTGTGCCTATGTAATAATCCGGAGTAGACAGAAAATATGTCAGCATCATTAACGTCGTTATCAGGATATTCTTGGGAAGTTGAAGTTAAATTTGTGACAAAATTGTTCATGGATTGTAAGAACTGAAGATTATAATCATTATCAGTATCGCACGGCCTGTATACACAGGCAAGTAAAAAACTAAAATCGGAACTGGTAAGTGACAGACAAACAGCGTCCATCGTCTGACCCGTCATTAAATCTAAGAGCTTGATCCTGTGTGAAATGAATTAAGTAAAGGGATAAGGAAGCTAGATACTTTGCTAGAGAATATGTTAGAGAACCAATGGTGCTAACAATAGGTCGAAGGGGTAATCCTGGTTTGTGGATCATTGGGAGTCCGTAGAGACGTGGCATTTTAGAGTCAGGGGGGGTGACAGACTTTTTCACGGAGTCTGATAGAGAAGAAGCGTTAAGAACAGATTTAAGGTTGCGATCCATTACAGGGAAAACTGATATTCTCGTTCATTGGACAAATTAAAAACTATTACATTGGATCGGGAAGATATTCTGGTTAGTCCCTCTTTACTAAGCTTCCCATTCCTGAAACTCAACATTATTTCGGAAGTATTAAAATCCGAGGATCTGAAATCTTATCGGAAAATTGCTTGTCTGCAAGCTTTTGAGAAGAAGATTTGTTACATTGGCGTTACATGGGAAGTTTCATTGAAAAAATTAAGAGTTGTATTCGTCAATGTTCCTAACTTTGATGTTTTGCCCGAATGATTCTGGTAGTAGCAAGAAAATCCTTAATGTTTTATATACGTTTCATGGCAATAAACACCATGGCAATAAACACTTGATTTTTCACTTGTAAATGTAGAAGAAATTTGGGTATTCGTCATATAACTTCCATAAATACTTTCCTTAAAATTTTTTCTTCTTCTTCGCCTTCTTTTCATTGCTCCTCTCCTATTCGTCTAGAGGGTTTTGAGCCAAACCTTTTGGGAGATTGCGAATGTTTGATTGTGGCCCTCTTTTGCGAAAATCACCAGACATCCATATCAAATAGATATATGTCGTCAATTTTGGTTACGTACGCCCAGAAGATTGATAGGTTAAAGTTACTGTTTTATATCTGAGACTCATATTTTTTCATAGTTCTCAAAGGAAGAGAAGCCATTTTGAAAACATTTTAGCCGAACTTATCTGACGCGCACGCATATTGTTCCGACTGCGTTGGCAACATCGCTTTCGCAGCCGCCTTGACTCTGCGTCTGGCGAGTTTTTCGCTATGTCCTCGGCCGACTTTGATGCGACGCAAGAAACTGCAACGCGTATACTTACAATCCAGACTTAGGTCAAACATTATCGCCGCATGATATGGCGGAATAAGGTACGCGTACAGCATACACTTTTCATTATCTAGATTAATAATCCACATCTCTGAGAGTACGCCCATTTTATCAGGCAAATCATCCGAAATGATTCGACTCGAAAGTCGCTGATTCTTTTTACCGAGTTTTGTGGCTAGTTACATACGGTGCGAAATTTTAAAGAATTTTTACGTAAAGGAGCTGTAGCTCTGTAAAAATACGCATTTTTTTTTTAATACTCGAATCGACTGCTGCTTAACGAATATTTAAGGTGTTGGATACCCAATTTCATTTACCAAAGGAGACGTAATAACTTTTAGTACCGCCGGCCAGACAACAAAATTAACCGCGAAGAATTCTCCGTGGTCGGTACTGTTCGAGCGACTGTGAGAAAACAGACGGTGCGGCTTTCGAGTCGTAAAAAGAGAAAACCACGTTTTTAATTGTGGACACAAAAAAAAACAACCCGAAGGTTTTTCTCCTGACACGAAAGTACGCGTATTTTACTCCATTGGCGCCGCTTCACAGTTGAATTTTTGTTGAAGCACTAGGAGTAAAGCTTTCAAAGTTTTATATCTCGATCACTTTCATCTACACTCGAGAAAATGTCAGCGTCGCTTCTTTTTGTGGTCACGGTTTGAGTTTATTATCTTTATCTGTGCAATTTATAGATGAAACCTGACCGAAAGGTATTAAGGCGTACCGTTTGCAATGAGATTTTTTTTGCAAATGGTTTTAACATTACTTTTCTTAAGAAAGGACCACTATGGCAAGTGTAAGATTTGTAATGGAATGCTTAATATGAAATTATTTAATTCCGGTTGAGATAGTTTTACGAGAAGAGAATTGTTACCTTCATCGTTTTCTTCCTAAACTCCAATTCAAGTCACTTCTTAAGAGGGAACGGCCATGTTGCAAACAGTTAAATGTTTATTAATTATTGCAAGGGAAAATCCAGAATTTTTCTCAATTGAACTTTGAAGCTTGTTACAAGTTCTAAATATTAATCTCGTAAACCCTTTTCCATATGAAAAAATTGTTCAAAATTGTTCTATAACTATCGGATTTTTTGTTGGTAGAAGAATTCATCACGTGCAAGAACTTTAGTTTTGTCGAATAAAATTTTATGTCCGGTTTCGTGAGTTTATTTGTCATGTTCTTTGAGCCTCTGCAATGTATTGGGTTGTTCGGAAAGTCATTTCGTTTTTTTGGGGAACATGAAAGACAGTTTTCGTATAATAAATAAATATTTTATTAAATTATATATTGGCCATTCTGGTCCAACACCCTTTGCCATCTTTCTGGCAGTAACATAATTCCCCTCTCATAAAAGTTTTGGTCCTTGCTGGCAAAAAACTGGTTCAGGTGGTTTTTGACATCTTCATTTGAGGTAAAGGTTTTGCCATCCAAAAAATTTTGCAGGGGCCGGAACAAATAGTAGTCGGAAGGCGCCAGATCTGGAGAATATGGTGGATGTTGCAGTACGTCCCATTCAAGCTGTAAAAGTTTTTGGCGAGTGACCAAACTTGTGCGAGGTCTCGCATTATCCTGGTGGAACACTACACCCTTCCTGTTGATTAATTCGGGCCTCTTCTCTTTAAGTGAATCATTCAATTTGTCCAGTTGATGACAATAGACTTGTGAATTAATCGTTGTATTGTCCGGCAAAAGCTCAAAAAAAACGATTCCTTTGACATCCCACCAAACGGAGAGCATCACCTTTTTTTGGTGAATGTTGGCTTTTGACACGCTTTGAGCCGGTTCATCTTTTCCGCTCCATGACCTCTTGCGTTTAACATTGTTGTATACAACCCATTTTTCGTCCCCAGTAATAATCCGCTTCAAAAATGGATCATTTTCTTGACGTTTGAGGAGCGAATCACACACGTCAACGCGACGACACAAATTTCGCTCCGTAAGGACATGGGGCACCCACACATCGAGCTTCGAGGTTAAGCCCATGCCTTTCAAATGGCCATAAACAGTCGAATTCGACAAAATTAATCTCTCACCGATCTCTCGTGTGGTTATTCGCCGATTTGCATCAACTAATGCCTTTATCGCATCTTTGTCAGCTTCGACCGGCCTTCCAGACCGTAGTGCATCTTCGACATCAAAATTGCCGGATCGAAATTTTGCAAACCAGTTCTGGCACTGGCGTACTGTTAACACGCCTTCTCCATACACATCCGTCAATTTTTTTCTCGCTTGGACAGCATTTTTACCTTTTCTGAAGTAAAAAAGTAAAATATGACGAAAATGCTGCTTATTGCTCTCCATATTTAAAAGGGCAGCAACCAAAAACTACTGCCTAGAATTAATAGAACTTTTTCACACACAAGCCTTGCAATATCAGCTCTCAAGATATATAATGGTTATGCGGCTTAAGTGTGAAGTTGGTTTCGAAAAAACGTAATTAAGTCCCCTGACGGGAAAAAACGAAATGACTTTCCGAACAACCTTATATTATTTGCCGCATATGCATGGAATGGTATAAACTCCTAGCATCTCAAATGGAATTTTGTCTTTGGTAAATCGAAGATGTCGAGAGATTTTTGGACAAATGGTAAATCTGGTTTTGACGTTATATTTCTTTGATATGACGTTTTCAATGTTTAGGAAGGGCAACAGTGGCAATCATTAGAGAGAAGAGCAGAGGTAAGGTGTTCAATAACTCGGGCTGAGGTAGTTTTACGACTCTGTTGATAACCGATGATTTTTGGGTCGGATAGTGATGCGACAATGCATTAAGGTATCGGTCTGTGTGCGTAGGTTTTCTGTAAACACAATGGCCCAATGTTAGGTGTGATATCTAAGAATTGGAGGTTATTATTAGTTTCCAACTCCATTGAGTTTCAAGTGGAATCGATCGAATAGAGTTTTCTTACAAACATTGCTTAACTCTAACCTTATTTATTTATTAATTAAAACATTATCGCCACGTCGTATGATCTTCCTTGTCGTTGTCGGCATCCCGCTTCTGAAGTTCCTTCAGTTTGAGATCGAAAACCATGTTGGCAACGTCGCGTTGCAAATATATTTGGTTAATAGGGCTAAGGGTTTTGGCCACGTCTGCGATTCCTTTGAAAAACGAATCGATTTCTTCGAATCGATCCGACGAATTCGTCGTCGGATCCGAATCGAACGTCATCTGAGACGATTCGTCCGTATCGTTCTGAATGATCGGTTCTTCGAACATGACTTCTTCGTCGGGTTCTTGTTTGATACGCGTCAGGTTCTCACCGTCTGAGCAAACGGCTGACTCTTTCGTTTGGTGCTGCAGGGTTAGCTTGCTGCCCTTTTTCAGAACGTAGGGCTGTAAGAACGTCATGTATTTGCTGTAGCGATACGGCCTTCTTGAAGTCTTTATATTTTTGTTTTTCCGTTTGAGGTGATCGAGTTTGACGTCTTTGACGTACGAGTCCCGCAGGTTCTTCCAGCGTTGTTTCACCTCGTACACTGAAAAAAAAAATAGCTGGGAAACAAAGGTTCATACACTCCTGTATTAAATTAAAGAAAGTGATTAAAATAAGCAACAAACGACAGATATCGTATAGTTCAGTAAAGAAAAACAGATGATGATAGCAAAGAGAGAAATCACTAGCAGATAGGACAGGAACTATAGTCAGAAACCAAATGGATTTCATACTAATGGTATCACGACAAGTGATCATTATGTAAAAAAAATTGTGCGAAGGAACACATATCTATAAAAACAAAAAACGCACCTTGGCTAAAAATGAAATCCTGGAACTTACGGAAGAACAGAGGAAGACCGAGAATAAAATTATCGAAACAAATCGGACTGTCTAACAAAAATGTTACCAGCAGAGGAGTACTTACAACCGTTTACAACAACTGTTAGACGGAATCAGTGAAGCGAGTTTTTGCGAGAATTTGCTTTTGAATTTATCCCAAAAAGGACCAAGTAGACGTTGATTAGTAATCATCTCTCGAACAGAGGACCAAAAGAATACTTTCTGGAGGCACCACTGGGCGTTGTTAGCGCAATCCGTATGACCCATGATTTTGCTTACCAGTTTGAGCGTCGGGATTCGGTTCGTCTTTCAATCTTTGCGTGATTTCCCGCCAAAGATCCTGTTTTTGCTCCACGCTGCCTTGCGGCATGCTGCTATCGTACAACATCGGATATTCTTTCACGATGGCCACCAGCTTCATATTGACATCCATGTCTGAAAACAACGCAAACGTTATCATCCAATGGCGCAGTTAACCTGTCGATTTAATTACACAGAACATCTTGGTTGAAAAACCTTAGAACTATAGGCATAGTATAGGCACATTAGATAGAAAATTGCTTATTTTAGCTTTAAAAAATTAATTACCATTTTTTATGGCAATAAAACAAAAATTTATTGGTCAAATAGTCAATGTTTTTCTAGCTAGGTATTTCCAGACGTACTCAAAAACGTCGTAGAAAGGAAATTACAGGCCATTCTCAGCGTCTAAGATGTTTGAAAAAACGATGCATCTTAAACCAAGCATTTTCGCTGTAATATACGAAATAAATATCATCTGGAAGTCTGTGCTTTGAAGTTTGATTCTTAAACCTATTTTAACTTGTGTATTTTTTACATTAGTTTAATGCATTTAATTATATTTCAAATACTAATTCAAAATTAGTTCTGATTTTTGAATAACGAATGAAAAAATTAATAAATAAAAACTACTTTTGAACGAACGAGACGTTTTAAGTTGGCTCTTAATACTTCTGTCGAACATAAAGCTCAACTTATATTGTCGAAACACGAAAGTAGTTTAAATAGGTAGGTAGAAAGGACATATATACGAGTGCAAAGGGTTAAATAATGTATATAAACGTAAATATTTTGATCTCAGACACCTCTAACCTCTAAACTATTCACGCGACTTTTCTCGCCTGTCCCTTTCAGTGGTGACTCATCTTTTCTTGACAGTGTAACGTTGGTTGCATAAGCATAGTATTAAGACTTTATATACGCAGAGACATGATTTTGAGATAGAATTCAACGATTCAACGAACTTGTTTCGCACGTTATCGGAAAAGTAACGATGTCTTTTCACTTGACAGGCGAAAGGCCAAAAAACGTTTCGCTTTTTTGTCCATTAGTCGGGTATTTTTTATCTTACCTGCCCAATCCAAACCCATGCAGACACTGGTATGCTGAATTGTGGAAAATTAAACTTCAGATCGCGTATAAAGCGCAAAACAAAGCGAGACGTGCGACGAGACGAGACTGGCGTCTAGCTGCGGCGCGGGCCCGACGCGGCAGCGGAGCAAAATGGCGACCACCGGCAACGGGAAAGTATGCTGTAGCTATAGGGCGGCCCAAAAAAAAAAATCCCTAGACCGATTTTGTTCGTGAAGTCAAAACGAAAGAGAAATGTATACGCATCATCGTCAGTGTATAGGGTATAACGGTTACATTTAATTTATTGTTAATATTACGTAATTAAAACGCGCAATATTCAACAATATCGCTTAAGAATATAATAACTCATGAAAAGACGACCGACGATGCTCGGCCCGATGATAGAGGCAACGGAAATCCGAAACGACTAAAACAACTTACAATTTGAAGTATCAAAACTGGAAACATAAAATAAAATACCTGACGGTTTTCCAACGGCAAAGGTTAAAGCCTAGAGACAATCTGAGAAACGATTGATTCGACCTTTCTTCCGAATTTTAAAGGTTCCAAATCTTCGGGGAAGTCGATAAATACAGCCCAAAATCTGCCAATTTTTGCTACTACAAGTCAAATTTTGTAAAATGTCGATTTACACGCGACCTCTGAAAAAGTTAACGACTTTTTTGTGGATTCCGTTAGAGAAATAATAAATAATATAAAAACAACACAAACAACTAATAAAAAATCTGTCCTTTGTTGTGCTTATACACAAGAACTAGTTACCGTGGAATATCACTTCTATCGGTTTTTTCCAAAACATTCGAAAAGTGTGCGGCACGATGCATCTCTAGAGAAGGGGCAATTTTTCCCGAATTCTCAGTTTGGTTTTCGCAATGTATTATCTACTCAAGACTGTTTAGTTTCCTTATGTAATCGAACCTGGATTAGAATAATAAAACATTATGTATGTTCATTATACTCGGGAATAGTTACGATCCTCATCTAAAGAACTCATCAGCGGTGTCCCGCAGGGAAGCATACTGGGATCTTTATTATTTATAATATTTAAAGGGCGTATAAAAATAAAAGTTCGGATTTATTTAAATTCAGAGAAATGCACAACTTTGACGACAATTTTGATATTTTACGTAATCATTCAAAAAGCAAAAAACAAAATTTGTTGGAAGCTATTTAGATTAACAAAATGAGATATTCGAATTTATTATATATTACTACCTCTTTTTATTTATAGGTGTCGGAATGTAATCATAAAGGCGCGCTGTTGCCGAAACAGCTGTCATAAAAATCTGAACATTTTTTGTTCTAATTTAATTTGTGTTAAATGGATTTTCATCAAGTAAAAGCCACCTCGCTCCGATTTTAGAACAGCAGAATCATAATTTACAGATGAAATTGGAAAAATATCACACTTGCAAAAAACGTTTGACCCTATTAAATGTTGAAAATTGAACGTCTATAATTTTGTTTCGAAACAATTACGACTCTGGATCGAGTTCCCGTAGCGGTACTGGAAAAAAAGTGTGTTCGTTGGCATCGTTCCAACAGAAACAAACACTCTCGCAGAGTGTTTTACTGCTTCCAAGATCGCCCGTGATTTATTTTTAGCCCGAACTCGCTCGGTTTATAGTTCCCAGAAACGTGTTATACAAAGTTTACGTACCCGTGTACATATATATATTTATACACACACACAGTTTACCGGAGTGTCGTAAAATTCGAATCGTCCACTCATCGATACGTAATAGAGAGGCTGGAACTGTAAGACTTTGAGTATAGAACGAAAATGTTTTTATTTTTATCCGATTTTTTATATCGATTTGAGTAAAAACGAGGGTCGTTGAGCTACAGTCTGTCTCTATCGTCAACGTGCTGGCTTGTGCCCGCAATTATGGAAGTTACGTCCCGCAGGCAATGGAACTCGGGTCCGTAAGTATTAAGGGGCAGCACATTAGGGACTCTCAAAAATTTGGGTAATGATATAATTTTTGTTGTTTATTTTATTTTATGACATTAAATATATACAATAAATTCATAGCTACAAATATCTATACACAATACTTTTTATAAAACTTCTGGATTCCTGTATGGTCTGTTCATAGATATAAGAAAGTGACCAATTGCTTTTGCATGGGATTATCCAAGGGTGGTCAGTAACATACAATGCCACGAGATTATTACCTAAAGTTTCGGAATTTAAATACAGGTAAAACTGTGGTCCGTAATAAAAAATAATTTTATACCTACCTGTGTTTAATATTCTTTGGTTTGGTATACTACTTAGTTTAAGTTTATTAGTAATCATTCTTACTTCGTGTGTAATACAGCGTGTGTTGAATCGTGTGGGACTTTTGCAAAATATGTGCGAGTCTAGTGTATCTTAGGAGATGCTCCCGCCCAAATGTAGAGACTATTGAGACTAAGGAAGTTATAAGCAATGTTTATTTGACTCTCATTGAACGTGGTGCCAGCAAGCAAGCATCTTTAGAAGAAACGGCCACATTGACGAAAATTCAAACATCAACTGTATGGAAAATTGTGAAGAATCCCATTTTAGCGAGGAAAAAAAGAAACGATGCTGACATTTTCTCGAGTGTAGATGAAAGTGATCAAGATATAATACGGCGTAAAATTTACCAGTTATGCGGGGAACAAATCGTGCCTACATTAGATATATTAATTAGGAGGCTTGAAAAAGATGAAACCGGTGTTAAATGAGGCAGAACTACCTTATGGAAGTGTATTCAACACGTGGGTTTTAGATTTTAAAAAATTGACAAAAGGCAAGTTTTAATAGAATCTTTTAGAATTCGGAAATAGCGACTGAAATATCTAAAAAAATTTAGGATTTACACAGAACAACAAAGGCCAATTATTTACTTGGATGAAACCTGGTTCGACACTTATGATACCTCGGGTGGGTTGACTCAACTGATAAGTGTCGCGCCATCAAAAAGAGGTAAAAGAATAACTATTTTGCATGCTGACTCTAAAGATGGTTGGAGTCCAAATGGACTTTCTCTGTCTGCGAAAAATATTAACGATTCTTCTCTGGATTACCATGAAGACACCTGATTTATTTGAAAGTTGGTTTAAAAACAAACTAGTTCCAAACATTTCTCCTAATAGCGTCATTGTAACGGACAATGCAAGTTATCACAGTAGACAGTTGACTAAAACCCGTTCCTCATGTTATATATTATACCAAAAAGCAATTAATTGTTGTTCTGTGGTTCTACAAAGCTTGAACCTACACAAGGAATACGTCTGTGATAATTATGCAAAAAATCTAGGGCATACAGTTTTAAGGCTTCCACCACTGTATATTTAATCCCATTGCACGTTTTTCACCAACTGAAATCTGCCATTCGTCGTAACAATGTTTTTCCCTTTGTTAACTCCATTTTAATTTAAGATTTAAACATAAATACATAAATAAATATTGTTTAGTATCTTTCTTATATCTATGAACCATGTTGAGCGTTGAATAAGATTGCTTAGCTTCAGATATATGAACATCAGCCTCGAAGACGGCTTGGGCTTTCGAATTGTGGGTATACTCCACGTGGCAAGAAAAGCAGGTATAGTCTAAACCGTAAAACCAAGCAAACAAGAATCGTCATCCTTTGCTTGAAGGTGGCAGACAATGATTCAATAGAAGTAAGAGATTGTCAAGCTTCATCTGATGATAGCCAACTTTTTAAGATGGGCGATGGCTCGTTCAATCCGCCGTATTGCCAACATAACCGAACACCAACTAACTAAACGATGGTTGGCACGTCAAGGAAAAATAATGCAGATAAGTATTATCTAATCTCGTAGCAGACATCTGAATGCCAAGAGAACATGCTTGTGACGTCATTTGAGCGCATTTATTCTGCCTGTGGTGCCACTTCTGTTCCCCGCCGTCTTATCAATGTTGTTTGCATGTCGACATAGATACGGAGTTCGTGAGATAACGCACAAAGGACATACATACGCATAACTCTGATGGTACACTTTTGATATTAGATATTCATATTCGAAGATGTTATCGATACAGTCGAAACTCTATATAGCGAAATTGAAGGGACTGCTTTTTTTTGTTATAATGAGTTATAGGCGCTTGTGTGTTCTGTAATATTTAATTATTTTATATACAATTTTTTAACATCTACTTGGGAACATTTTATATAAACATTTAAGAGGTACATTTAATGTTTCAAATAATCGGTCATTTTCTTTTGAATTTATTTAGTATGAAAAAAAAACCACACACTTTTCGCTTCGAAATTTAAGAGTTTTATCTGGCGTCATTTTGTAAAAAATACCAGTTTCGTCAGCATTAAAAATGTCGTCAGCAGGGTACTTTTCTGCTAGTTTTGGCCACGTCTTCTCCAGCCAATCGTTAGTGACGTTTCTGTCGACATCACGGGCTTCGCCACTTATCTGTCCATAATTTAAACCACGTCTCTGTTTGAACTTCCCCAACCAACCTTCCGACGCCTTGAAATCGATAATGCCAAGCCGTTCAGCAAACTTTTCTGCTTTTGTTTTACGATAGGTCCAGAGAGTGGTATATTTTTAAGGCGTTGCTGTTGAAACCACTGCAACATTGCCTGATCCAAATCTCAAATTTTGGTTTTCTTAGTTTATTTCTCGAAAACGGTTTACGCAATAGAAAAAATTCTTCAACGAGAAGACGCAGAAGATTCGGCTCCATAAAGCCTTGTTCTTGATCATTTTTAAAAAACGTACAGGGTGCGCCGCATATTCAAAAAAACTGAAAAATGAGTCGCCCTATTAAAGAAAATTGGCTATAACAAAAAGACTGTCCTTGAACTTAAATAGTGTAGGTTATATACGTCACAATTGAATCAGAAATTCAAAACTTAAATATGTGTAGGTTATATACGTCGCAATTGAATCAGAAATTCAAAACTTAAATTTGTGTGGGCTATATCCGTCGCAATTGAATCAGAAATTCAAAACTTAAATTTGTGTGGGCTATATACGTCGCAATTGAATCAGAAATTCAAAACTTAAATTTGTGTGGGTTATATACGTCGCAATTGAATCAGAAATTCAAAACTTAAATTTGTGTGGGTTATATACGTCGCAATTGAATCAGAAATTCAAAACTTAAATTTGTGTGGGTTATATACGTCGCAATTGAATCAGAAATTCAAAACTTAAATTTGTGTGGGTTATATACGTCGCAATTGAATCAGAAATTCAAAACTTAAATTTGTGTGGGTTATATACGTCGCAATTGAATCAGAAATTCAAAACTTAAATTTGTGTGGGCTATATACGTCGCAATGGAATCAGAAATTCAAAACTTAAATTTGTGTGGGCTATATACGTCGCAATTGAATCAGAAATTCAAAACTTAAATTTGTGTGGGTTATATACGTCGCAATTGAATCAGAAATTCAAAACTTAAATTTGTGTGGGCTATATACGTCGCAATGGAATCAGAAATTCAAAACTTAAATTTGTGTGGGCTATATACGTCGCAATTGAATCAGAAATTCAAAACTTAAATTTGTGTGGGCTATATACGTCGCAATTGAATCAGAAATTCAAAACTTAAATTTGTGTGGGTTATATATGTCGCAATGGAATCAGAAATTCATAACTTAAATTTGTGTGGGTTATATACGTCGCAATTGAATCAGAAATTCAAAACTTAAATTTGTGTGGGCTATATACGTCGCAATGGAATCAGAAATTCAAAACTTAAATTTGTGTGGGTTATATACGTCGCAATTGAATCAGAAATTCACAACTTAAATTTGTGTGGGTTATATACGTCACAATTGAATCAGAAATTCTAAACTTAAATATGTGTAGGTCGTATACGTCACAAATTCATAACTTAACTATGTGTACGTCAGATACGTCACAATCGAATCAGAAGTTGAAAACTTAAATTTAAATACTTTTTTAACCTTTATCGTCGTCGAAATTAAAAACCTTACGTTTCTAATCCGCACCTCCTATCATCATCAAATATGAACGACAGACTCCGTAAATACGTTCCAAAGCGAAGAAGGTCACCGAATGCGTCACGAAAGGTGTAATTGACGTCAGTGGCGGCGCGTTAAGTGCATGTTTGATTGTATAATGAGGACCGCGCGGGGACCGAAAAAAAAAAGAAAAGGTTAACTGGGATAAATGGTTCTAATGAACTTGATGAGCTCGCGCGTTGTTGTGGCGATTTCTCGTGAACGCTTTTACCGTTATTCCGATGATGAACCACGTGACGTATCTGTTTGTTGGCCGCCAAAAAAGAGGCAACTGAGGCAACAAACATTTACGCTTCTCTCTCTCTCTCTCTCTCATATTTTTCTAGAAGTTGAAATTACCAAAAAAAAAAAAGGATAAAGGATGCGGTCTTTAAATTCTTAAAAATATTTCCCGACCCCCCATCTCCCCCGACTCCACCCAGTTTCGATGGGCTTCGTTACTAGCTCCGTATATATCTGTCAAATTTCAAGTGGATGGCTTCAAATTTCGGACACTTATCGTGTTTCATAGCGAAGTCCAAAAAACTGATGAAGATCTAAAAAAAAAAGACGCACGCCTTGGTTTGATCAGACCCATTTTTTATCGGTTCATGTACCTCGTGCACGGCTTAAAAGGAGCCAAATTTGAAGGTCGTGCTGCAAACCGTTCAAAAGATATAGCCAATTAATGCCAGGTCTACAGAGAAACGGAGAACGGATAACGGAGAACAGAAAAAAAAGCGATACTGACAATTTTTTAAGTGACTGATATTTAATTATTCTTATATTTAATATTTTGTATATTAATAATGATAAGTATCGTCTCGGCAAGGTGCCGCGGTTTTGCAGTAGTAGTCAAAGTTAATCACGGGGTCGGTTGTAAAAACGCTATATTTCTGGTCCACCTATACCTACCTATTTGATTTGAACATTCTGACTGGCATCCGACGCTTGCGGTGCAAATTTCAGTTTGAGTGCCTACATCTTTCCTAATATAGGATTTAATTTTGTTTCCTTCTAAAACATACATATATTTATTTTATAAATGCGTGTTAAAATCCCAGGAAAATCTTACCGTCGGAAGCGGACCCAGCACCCAATTTCAAAGAAGGAATTGCAAATTTGTGAAGGCGATTTCGAGCCTCGTTCGCAAAGCTGTCATCGCCGAAATGTAAACCGCAAATCCTTATTCGACTGTGACTTTGTTCTAACGTTATGTTAGCGTATCTATGACTGCCCGTAAATCCAAGTATATTTTTCCAAACACGACACCTGCAGATAAGGATGGAATTGAATATACCATGAAATATAGCTATAAGAAAGAGGGAAAAAACTTTTTAATTGGTATTATACCACGACCAGAAATATTGTGGTTTTATAACAGACCTCGTCATTAACTTTGCCTACTGTTTATACCCGTAACCATTCCGGGACCGTCCTAGGAATTGACCTATGGTCTGTTCATAGATATAAGAAAGTGACCAATTGCTTTTGAATGTGATTATCCAAGGGAGGTCAATAACATACAATGCAACGAGATTATTACCTAAAGTTTCGGAATTTAAATTTAAATAGAAAATGGTTTTATACCTACCTGTGTTTAATATTCTTTGGTTATCACAGTAGAGAGTTGATTAAAACCCCTTCCTCATATGACACAAAAGCAACAATCCAAAACTACATGTACAATAACGACATTTATTTTCACGAAGATTATACCAAAAAGCAATTAATTGAGGTTCTACAAAGCTTGAACCTACAAAACGAATACGTCTGTGATAATTTTGCAAAAAAAAATCTAGGGCATACAGTTTTAATGCTGTACCACTGTATATTTAATCCCATTGAACATGTTTGGCACCAACTGAAATCTGCCATTCGTCGTACCTAACTAACAACAACTAACTAACAACTAACAATATTGCTTTCGAAAAATCGTCGGTGAGCGGGGCAAGTTCGTCGAAAATAGCGCGAATCAGCTTTTTCAATGTTTTTCTATAGTGCTCCTGCGGACCACTATGGAAGTTTCGCAAAATCGATGTAATTTGATTGTGAACACACCCCGTCTAAAGTGTCCTTCACATCTCGTCGAACTTCAAATTTACGGCATACTTCAGTAAATATCAAAATTTGTACTGGTAATTGCATTGCATACCGTTCATACCAAATTATCACATCTTTAAAAGTTTTTCATGTATCGCCAATAATTCACCCACAATTTCTACGACGTACCCTGTATATAATTCCAACAATGTTCGAAATAGAGGATATAGCTCTGGATCTCCTTAGTTTCCTGGTATCCGAATTTTTCCAATGGAGTAAATGGTTTTCAAAAAACTACCTGTTTTCCGAATCCATGTAGTACGTGGTAATTGTAAATGACGTCATCGCGTCTAGATTGAGGGTGAGAGAGAAATAGTGGTTTTCATTTGGTTTAGTTCAGATAACTCGAACAGCGTATGTGATCGACGAAAACCGTAAATATAAAAATTGTAGGCCCTTGATCCAAAACACAGATTTGAAATTATTGCCAATTTTCAATAATAGGGGGACCCATTTTTCAGTTTTTTTTTATTTGCGGCGCACCCTGTATATTCTTGAAAAATTGTCACGAATAAAAGTTTATAGAGCCGCATCTTCTGCTTCTTCTGGTTCAAGAATTTTTTTGGTCTCGTGAACATTTTTTGGAAAAATGATGTTTTTTGTAGACCTTTACAAGCACGATTTTTTATTTTTTTAGAATACACTCTCTGATAGAGAAACAAATGAAAACATAAGACACAAATGTGGAAATGAAAACCTGGGCAAGAATGGAATCAACATATAGAGAGAGTGTCTGAACAACGGATAGTGAAGATGGAACGACAATTTGTGATAAAAATTACATTGAAGTAAAACAGACAGAAGTAAAATACTTGAAATGTCAAAGCAATAATAGCACTATATTTTTGGTCGCACCATACCTGGCCTCGTCTAGCGGGCAACGAAAGAAAGACAGTCCCTCATTTAATTTACTGCCACAACCTTCCACTACGCAATACGTCACAGACATCGCGCTCACTTGTTTCGCCTACTGGCAACCTACTGCGAGTTAGGCGGGAAGGTGCCCCCCCACCCCTCTCCAACGATCTATCGGCGTTGCGAAGTGCGGCAAATTATATCTTAATTCTGTAGACTTTGGTTAGGCAGGGTAGACAGGGTTGGGCAAACTTTGATTTTTATTTAAAAAAAAAATGTGATTTTTTTATTTTAATTTCATAAGAATATGTATTTCCCAGAAATACAAAAAGGATGTCGAACTTCCATTGTCTTTATTTTTAACGTACACAACGTTTCGGACAATTGTATCACTACCCGTTATCAAGTGTAAACTAAACTTAATTCTACGGCTACAAGGTTTATATACTAGGCGACGGAGTCGGGTGTACACAAGCGTGAAGTTGTTCAACTAGAACGCCAGCATTGGTGCGCGCCTTATTAAAGATTGCCAAATTGTTGATATATCACGCTTGTATTGTTGAAGATGTTTTCATTGTTTCTCTGTAAACAACCCGCGCTCTGGACCATTGGATGTTGTGTTGTTTGGTCCACACATGTTCTGCGATACCTGATTTTTGCGTTTCACCCTTCATTGTATGTTTCTTATGTTCTCCAACTCTTATTTTTAGCGGTCGTTTGGTTTCGCCAATATATGACTCTCCGCATTCACAGGGTATCTGGTAGATACACTCTTTCTCTTGAGTCGACGTTTCAGGCTTTGTTTTTGTGACTACACTTCTTAATGTTGATCCAGATTTAAATACAGCTTTAACTTGATATAGTTTAGTTTAGAGAGAGAGAGAGAGAGAGAGAGAAAAGAACCCATCATCAGGTCATCGTCTTGTGCGTAGAACTTATCTTTGGCTTGAAAGTAAGAACTATGCAGACAGCACCTCAGAAGCTCAAACACTCCCTCAAGTGGCAGCGAAGTTCTCTCTGATAGGGTTGAATCATTCCTTAGTCTAGCCCCGACAATACTTAACGATTCCTTCAAGGGCACGTTGGTATATAGACTTTCAACGTCAAAGCTAATAAACTTGTCTGAAGCATCTAGTTTCACGTTTTTTAGAATATCTACCAAGTGCCGGGAGTTTTGAAAAATTGTCGTTGGCGAATACTTCTTGCGTATTTCGCTGGTGGCTCGTCAAAGGTGTGGAACTAGTGCATTCAAAATCCAAATAAATCTGCGTGTAGAGCAATTTAAAGTACAGCATGATGTTTGTGATAATAAGCAGTAAGAAACTTTTGTCTGTCTAACCCATTGATGAAACAAGATTTATTAGATTGCTTAATAGTATCTTTAGACCAAAATTATTTTGAATGTAATGAACAGATTTACATCTCTAAGGAAGGTTTAATTATGGGAAACTCACTTTTTTATGGATAATTTTGAAAATATCCTACTAGAATACTCTTTAATATTCGTTACATTACATATTCGTATAAAATTCACTATCGAAATTGAACAGGATAACTCTATTAATTTTTAGACTTAATTATTACGAAAACACAGTCATACACAACAGCTCAAATCACCCTTATACACACAAAATGGCTCCATTTCACTCTTTTATACTTCTAAATACGCCACTCTCAATAGAAAATTACAACAAATAACTTAACATCATTAAACAAATTGCACTGGACAATGGCTACAATCCGTCCATTATCGATAAAGTTATAAATAAAAAACAAATCCAGACAACAGTAAACTCTATTTATCCGAAATCTAATACAGAACACGAACAATTTAAAAATGAAAAAGTTTCAAAACATTTGTCAAAATGTTATATGTTATATTTTCAGTGTGACGCATTTCTTTAAACCTCCATGACAGTACTTTAGTACTCGGACACAAATAATAGATGGCATTATAGTCTTATACTCTTTGACTGAGACGTAGTTTTATGGCGAGCCCATTCGAAAGCTTTTTTTTACCGTCGCTTCCCGGAATTTTAGTAAAATCGCCCTAACGGTTCGTCAGAATTCTCGAAGGACCCGTCCGCTTCGAACGTTAGCGCGACGTTGCCAAGTCGTTGCGATCGTGACGTACGATGCCGTCGCCATTGGTGTTTCGAAGCGCGTGACGTCACCGCGCGTAATCGTTACCCGCCACGGCGGCGAAGGGGGTGGGTGGAGAGCTTCGTGAAAGCGACCTCTGGGTCGGCCAGTTTCGAGTCGGCGTTCGTAGCGTGCGCGTGTATAATCCCGTTTTCCTCAGAATCGTCACGACAATGGCGGACCGCGTTTGTTGAGTGCGCGGTGTCCACGAACAGCGAGAAAAGACAACATGTCGGTGATGCAGATGCAGCAGGCGAAACGCCAACAATGCTATCTGTGCGATTTGCCGCGTATGCCGTGGGCGATGGTGCACGATTTTTCGGAGGCAGTTTGCCGCGGATGTGTGAACTATGAGGGGGCCGATAGGATCGAAATAGTGATCGAGGCCGCGCGTCAGATGAAACGCGCTCACGGCTTTCAGGAGCGTAGCACGGCGGCCCACAAGAGCCACAGGAGTGGCGGCGGCGGCGGTCACGAGCATCAAAACGGCGAGGTCGTCGTTGCTAGTTCTAGCAGACCGCAATCGGGATACGGTCTGCACCATACCCGTGGCGGTATGCTAGCGGAATACCCGACGAATCAGCCGCCTCCGCCGCCGAGAGGCGCGTCGACTATGGCCCGACCTCAGCTCGAAGCAAACGCTGAACACGACGCCTTGGTGGCCCGTACCACCGTACGTTTACCGACAGCGGCCCATTTGGCACACCATCCGTTACAACAGACGCACCATCATTCGAATAACGGGCGGCAGACGGTCGCGGCCGCCTCCGGCGTCGCTCAGCAAGGTATAAAGCGAGGCCTGTCGGCTACATCGGCGGAAGACGACGACCATCACGGTCACCATCATTCTAACGGTGACGTGGGCGCGAAGAGGATGATGTCGGTCGAAGATCACGCGGCCGCGAGGCCGCCTCTCACCAGAGGCGAGTCCCTGCCGGCGGTTTCTTTGGCCCAGCCGTTCGTCGTCTCGGCGGAGCGCAGTTTCAAGCAGGAGAAACATCCGATGCGGGCCGGGTCTTTCGACGCGGGCACCTCGTTCAAAACCAGCGGTAAATATTCGATAGTCGCGACGTCGAAGAACGCGTCACGGCCGTGTGACGTCACGCGTTTGATGGAACGCAAAGATTCGGTCATGGCGCAACCTTAAATGTATCGCGCGATCTATAAAATAATACGTGGAAACCGAAAAGTCTGGAAAGTTAAATTTTCAAAGAAACTTTCGTAGGACGCCGTGATACTATTTAAGATTTTCTGAAACGTTCCTTAAATGACTGAAAAATCGCATGGAACGTTAATTTTCCAAAGAAACTTTCGCGGACTATAGTAATACAAATTTTACACATCTTCCAGGTTAGAGCGAGATTTTTTCTTGTAATACACTCCGCAAAAAGTATCGCGCGATCTATAAAATAATACGTGGAAACCGAAAAGTCTGGAAAGATCGTGCGGAAAGTTAAATTTCAAAGAAACTTTCCTAAAAGTAGTAGAAAATTAAATTTATTGGAAGCCACGAAGATTAACAAAATGAGATATCCAAATGTATTGCTTAACCATCAATTAGTTTTAAATACCTCTCCTTTATTGAACTTAAATTCTCACAACAACATTAATTGAGGTTTTATGGTCATTTTTCGGTATATATAGTAACAGGTAGTTTGTAAATATTGCATTAAGTTAATTTTCCAAAAAAAAACTTTCGCGTGCCGCCGTAATGCAATTAACGCCGTTTCTAGCAGGAAAACGTGATATTAGTTTAATTATTGTAACAAGTTAAAATTTTTCCAAAAAAGAAAGTATCGCTGGAGAATGAGGTACATAAGTAAGTACACCGTAAAATATACGAACTAGTGCAATTTCGAATAAACTCTAAAGACGTTTTTGCACTAAACATTGAAAATGCTTATTTTGTGAACTACCATGATATATTAAATCAATTTTACGCCGTTCCGTTATACCTTCTGCGTGAATAATATGTAAAGTCGTCTTGAAAAACTATTTGTTAAGGGGTTATGTTCCTGTTCTGCATTACTACCCACAATTAACTGAATTCCTGTTTAAGAAAAGTAATAAAATGTTAACTTCGTAAGATAAATCATTTTAAATAAGTTTCAAACTTGATATCCCTATCAAAATCGCTGGTTCTAACCTAAACATTCTGTCACTCGACATGTCACGTCTCAGCGTTGCACTATATTTTTGGTCGTATTATATCTTTGGCCCAGTCCTCAAATTGATTCGTTTCCGTCCCTTGGAAATAGTCGCCATAACCTCAACACGGAACGTCTACGCACTAGTAACGAATTTAAACCATAACAATTATTTTCACGCGTCTACAGCGTGTGGCTGGAGTTGGGGGGGGTGGGGGGCTACACTATAATCTGCGCGACTGCTTCGTTGTCCAAGGTACTATACGCATTGTGCAATAATTCGTCGGCTTTGGCTTTCACTCGTTAGCGGTCAGACGCGGTGACGTCACGAGTTGCGATGGCGGCCATGCTCGCTCGCTCGCTCTCCAACCGGTTCCGCGGGCGGTCTCGTCGCGGTGTTGCCACTATCCCGTATCGTTTTACGAGTCTTAACAACTGCTACGTTGGTTAATTCGCGAATAACGTTTAATTTTTTTTCTACGTGATTTACGCTAAAAAAAATCTTTTGCATTATGAAAATCCATTTAACGACAATGTCGTAAGCAAACACGTATTAACTAATTTCCAGGATCTTTCACATACGTCTTTGGAAATCATTTCAAATGTCGACTCTATCGTAAACAAACTACCACTTCAAACAGCTAATGAAATCCGATTTGAAACCTCAGAATTCCTTAAAAAATCCAAACCCCCTAAATCTAATATTGCAAGGCCTGAACGTCATCTGACTGCTTTTTTTCGTTATAAAGAGTTATCGAGGCACTCGAAAAATATCAATACTCATATATACATATTTTAACATCTACTTGGGAACATTTTATATAAATATTTAATAGCTACATTTAATGTTTCAAATAATCGGTCTTTTCTTTTGAATTTTTTTAGTATGCATCGCATCTCGTACTTTGGCTTGTATTTTCACCATTTCTTCGATACATAAAAAATTTCTCTAGCAGCTTAACTGAATATACGGCTTGTTGAATGATTGGTGGTGGTTCCAGATAAACTTCTTCATCTTCTTCTTCCTCTTGGTGCTCTTCCTCACCCTTTCTTGCTTGTTGTAATATGGCTTCCTCTGTCACGTCTGCCGTTGTAGGCAAATCCTGATCTATCACCATAAAATCTTGCAACTCCTCACTTGTAAACGTAATTATTGTTTGAAACTGCTTTATCGACTGATCATCTTCCGTAGCCTTGAAATCGAATCGTATTCAAATTAGAACTGATTGAAACAATGGTGTGCTTTTATAGATACCGATAAAGGCAGTAATATAGTCGCTCATTACGAGAAAAACACCAGGTTCTCGGTAATTACAATTAATTACAAGTCCTGAAGTGCCATTTTTTCTTTCGGTATAGATAGTGAGAAATTCGTTATATAGAGTGGATTAATACATAGCTTTAGAGACCTAATAGTACAACAAATTTTGTTCGTAATACGGAGATTCGCTATAGGGAGTTTTCACTGTACTCTTTCGGTCTCCTTTCTTACACGCGCTCGCAACTCGCGCCTTGCATTTGGTTCTTCAAGTGTTCATGATTATGTTGTCCCTTCCTTAAGATTAATCCACCATTCATTCTCTTCAACATGCCTCCATTCGCTACCATCTCCAATCGAATAGAAGAATTTCGTTGACTTTAAATCGTAGCCGCTCGTACGTTTTTACGCGCAGTGAATCAGCACCGAAGCGGCAACGCCGCAGGATTATGTCTGACTGTTGTTATGCGTCTGAGAAGACTCGAACGCGGTCCCCTACGTCATTCGCTTTCACGACCGGTTTTACGACGAGCGACAAATATCGAGCGCCAGAAGTTTTACCTGCCTGTGGCCTCTTTCTTGGGTTTACCGTTGCCCGACGACTGCACGACATCGATATATTTTTATAATCTCGACGTAAATTAGAAGATAGCCCCCCCCCAACCCCCAGCACACGGTTCAGCGACTCGTTCGATGAAACGGGGTCGTTCGACGTAGAAAAATAAACATCTGTTTCGCGATGTGTTAAATTTGGAAATTGTTTTCGACGCGCATGCCCACCACGCCGCGCGGATTTCACGATAAAATTAACCCCCCGGGTTTTTATTTACTGCGGCGCACGGCGTTGCCGTTTTTCTCTCACTTCCGCCAGTAACAATGTTATTGATAATAATCATAAATTTGTCTTTATTGAAAATTAAAAAAATACGATATGAGTAATAATACAATGGCGGCGGCATACGCAACGCAAATGTTCGCAAGAAAGTCCTACAAAATAACCGTATCTTCTGCGTCTTCTGGTTCGAGAATTTTTTTGGTCTCTTAGACGGTTTTTGAAAGATGATGTTTTTTGTATTTATTTTAGTAGCGCCATTTAAAGCTTCACTAGCAACAAAAGATAAATATAACTGAGTATCATCGGCTGTATAAACTGAGAACAGAACACCCCTCTCCAAAGCAAGGGCATCTGAATGAGTATTTCCTAACCTTTAGTATCTCTGATCAAGAAAATTTCAAAAAAATGAAAGAGCAGTACCTTTTATCCTGAAGAATTTCAGTTTAGCTAGGAGAAGCGAATGATCCAAGAGCTTAATTTGGAATCCGCTGCTCTCAATAAATCATGAGTAACATGAAGCGAGGCAGAAGAGGTCGAAAACCAGATTGACAAAGTTGTTTAGCTGCAATTTTTTCAATAATCTTTGAGATGGTTGACGACAAACTGTTTGGTCTAAAATCGTTAATGCCCCTTGGACACTCTTCCTTTGGAACTTCGGCTAGCTTCCAAGAGTCCGGAAAAATCCCGGTCAGCGGGCACTTGTTAACAAGGAAAGTGACATGATCGACTAAATACGGGGTAGTCAAAAGAATCATTTTTATTATCAATATTGTCTGAGCCATGAGCGTTAGTTTTAATACTAATCAAAGTTCCACGACACAAGGAGTTCTGTGCACGTAATTTTTTATGTACCTCCAAAAAAACCATTGAAATTAAGTTGGGCTGTTGGCTGGCCAATCCATAAATTCTTAACTTGCACAGCATTGTGAGGAGGGGCACCGTTTTGCTGCCATACAATCAGCGCTGATATATTTAGGGGTAAATCCTTTTGTATTTGGTGCCCTAAGAGTTGCAAATAATGATCTCCATTTAACTTTTGATCTATAAATATCGGACCCAAAATATGCCTCTCTATGAAACCACACCATATGTCAATTGATTGGTACCCCTGGGTTTTTATTTCGTGTATTTGTCTAGTTTTATTTAAAGACCAATATCGCGAATTTTATCCATTACAACCCTTTCTTGTAATTTTTAAGTTTTACGAAATTTAAATGCAATATATTTATATTCTTTCAAATGGAGGAAACTGGATGTGCTTTATGGAGTCGAGTCCTAATATGTTTGCCTTATTTTATTCGTTTAAAACATTATCATTCCGGCATACTACCTTGATTATTCGGAAAATAGGCGTTCGGTCCCATTTCGGGAGGTCTTCTTTGCCATGTATTTTTCCGACTAACTCTCGATGCCAGTAAAGCAGCGCTGATAGAAATACCTGCGTGTTCCCATTATCCACTGCTCTTCTCATTATCAACTCTCCGTGAAGATGGACAAGTTGGGGTGCGAGGATACATACCGCTTTAATTAATTTTATTTATCGTTCGTCTAATATTTGCGGCATCGTTATCGCGTTCGTCAGGACAAACAATATATTTTTAACCCGGTATCGGGCCCGAGTGAGATAACGTACGTGTTTTCTCTAGGGATGTTCGAACTCGACGCCGTGCATCGATGTGTACCGACATTGGTTTAGAATTCGGAAATGGCGCCTGGAATATCTGCAAAAAATTAGGATTTACAGAGAACAACAAAGGCCAATTATTTACTTGGATGAAACCTGGTTCGACTCTTATGATACCCCGGAAA